GCCAATAAACGGAGTTATTGTCTTTTAAGCACCATTAAGTTATTAAGTATGCATAGTAAGCAAAAAGGCCGTATAACTTCTACACTTGACTGAAGATTATTTCAGTGTTAAGTACCCTTTTGAAGCAGGTTATTTGAACGTTTAGTTTTTCCCGTTTGTAATGAAGTTAATGTTAGAAAAACGTGGATAAGCTTGTTATGTAAAGGGTGTTTTAATGTTATTTACTACTATTTGTCGTTTGTGACCATTTCTGTAGCACTACACACATAGATATAAAATACTATCTGTTAGCATTATCCATCTATTTAATTCTACAGATTACTAATATTAACCTCCTTTTGAATATTTTAATTAAAAAGTATTATGACGAAGAACTTAATTGTTTTCGTATTTTCATGTTTTGCCAACCAGTATTTCATATTCAATGTAATGATTGTAATGACTTCTTATTCCTTTGAAATCAAAAACAGTAAGGCGGTCACTTTTAGACACTTGCACACATAAGCACGTATATACATATGTAGAAATAACAAATAACTAATTGTCTTCCAACCAGTACATAAGTAGATTGCGCCACGCTTCTTAATTCAAACGTAACTCAAAATGGCTGCCGTTAAATGTATTGTGACGGCTAATAATATAAGTGGCCAGTAACAGACAGTTTGACTTAATTAATGGTGATATGTGTCTGCGCAGGGTGCTTGTACTTTCGATTTTTATTTATCTTTACATCAGAACTGTACTTAGAGATAATTTTGTTTAAATTCAGCGATGCATTTCAAACAAAGGCACCTAAGGATTTTATTTTTACAATTACTTATGTCAGTTGTACCTGGATATAAAAATCTACTCAACAATAGCTAATTTCTGAATAAAGTAATTTGAATTGTCTCTCTCAGAAAATACATAATTGTGAATTAATATGAATAATCTAAAATAGGCATAGAAATATGCACATACGTCAGAGATAATAGATACAGTTTAGACTGAATACAATAGCTAAAATTATGTCAACAAAATAAATCTTATTATCACAAGTCTAAGCTGTGTCTATTCTATAAAGGCTATGTTCACTAACTGATGGCTATTCCATTCTATGCCTATCATTGTCGACTATCCAACATGTTTCTATTGTGGCAGTGTAGAAAGTACAATCAACAACTAAAGATTTTTCTCAATACTGTTTTTTTTTATTATTTAATGGCCTAATGAATATTTTGTCAAACTGATTTTTATAGAACTAGGTGCTATTTATAATTTTATGTTTTAGTTTCTAAATGTAAATTTAAATAAAAAAAACAATAAATGCTCACGAGCCGAATGTCAACAGATAACCTCATCCTTTTTTATTATACCTACAGACTTTCTACAAGGCTTTTTTAACGAGTGATTAAGTATCGAAAACGTGGTGATCAAAATAGTTTTAAAAATTAAAATGTATCTTGGACGTAACATTCCAACGAGCGAAGAAAGTTGTACCTATATACTACGAAAATAGTTTCCAAGACATGGTCTGCATAGTTTAACCATCAAGGCTAATAGTATAATAGGTAAACAAACCTTAGGTGTGAAAATGAATGCAAAAAAGTGCTAATATAGACGCCTGTGTGGTTCTCAACTCCACGCCGTTGTTTTTTCTAGCAAATATTTAATTCATGCGGCTTAACTATGCATGTCGCCATCCATGGGTCTGGTTGCAAAGTACAGGGGGAAAATAATTAAACGTTGATGGCAACATTATTTTGTGGCATGATTACGGGTAACGTAGCAGTGTGCGTCTGGGAGGAGATGTCGCGGCGTGCGCGGGCGCAGGCCCCACCCCCGCGCCGCTAATTGCGCCAATCTGCGGGGCGAGCCGCACGCACACACGCGCGACGCACGCACACACCGGCCACGCGGTGACAAACGCTGCATTCGCCAAATATATGTACGTTACTAGTGTATGTAAATGAAAATGTACTGAGGAGCACGAGGAAACAACAGCAGTCATTATACGGGAGCGCTCCGCAGCTCACACAAAGGTATACCCATCATTTTAGTGGGAATTGTTCGAGTTTTATTTTTATGCCGGAGACATTCAATTATTTTTAATTATAGCAGGTCTCGCACAATTACTTGGTGCAAGGGTTTACAGTACCTACATACAGAATGAGCTTCAATGAAAAATGTTACATGTGGACAAGTCGAAATTGCAAAAAGAATGTTTAATCAATTAAAAGGTGGGGTAGGTAGAGGATGAGGGGGCCGGTCTGACGACAGACAGGCGGCCGGGGCTGACGCACTCGTTACTACGTTCATTTATTTAACCAACAGAACGCGGTAATTGAAAAAATCTCATTTTCTCCCGTCTAGTGATGTAAACTTGTGTTAAAGGAATAATAAAAAAACAAATGAACGTCTGGCGGTCGGTCCTGCCGGCTTCGGCGTGCGGCCGGCTACTTGTTTGCTCATGTTTTACTATAGGTAACGTTTTCACTCAACCACATTATCCAGCGAAGCGAAACTGTAAGTGTTAGGACTTACTAAAGGGGATTTTTATAGGATTAATTTACATAGGTACCCCAGTTCATGGACTTTTTAAAAGAAACAGTACGACGTCCTCGTTTTTTTTTTCACGGAGCCATGATTACAACAGGTCACTTCAGTAGTAATTTCAATCCACTTATCTTACATATGGAGTTACGTAAGTGCACACAAGTCAATAATTTAAAACAACGTATCATAACAATTACAGCTTTTTCATTGAAATAGTGCATTTAAAATTAAACTCTATGTAGTCAAGATAAAGCTACGTTTCAGTTATCGTCGTAGAGATTACGAGTGGTCCGATGTTTGTCATTGTTCAATAGGTGTGAAATTGGCGATGAGTCGATACAGAACGGTGGATTGAATAATGTGCTTATTTTGTTTGTTTGTTTGCCTTCTTGTCTTTCCTACTGTTCCTGTACTCCCGGGCCATCGGCAAAAAAAATTTGTGCAGATTTATAAAAACGAAATTTAATTAGTGCCTAATTTTAATGCTATAGGTATCTACCCAAAAATTTTACGTAAATTCGGTACGTTTAAAATACAATGCATAATAAGAACTTTACAATTTATTTCATGATAAAATTACCTACATAAACAGTTTCTTAAGAAAAATAAATTCAGGCAGCCGTAAATATTTGTATGTTAAATAGGTAGGTATTTCGGCAACACAGGACGTCTAAAGTCATTTAATTTACAAAGTAAAATACTCAGAATCAGACAATTTATATTTTTTATGTGTCGTCAGTCAACAAATCAAATGTAATATAAACCGGCCGGCCATTAAGTAGGTATCGCGCAATAGGTGTAACATTTCAGAAGTTAGACCGAATAAAAACAACAATAAAAGTAAAACTCTCTCAGTGGAATAAATAATTTCCACTATGTCATCAATCGCTTCACTAAACCATAAATTGGGAGTGCGCGTCAAACACGCGGCCGTATCGCGTTACAGCGACACACCCGTCACCATGGCAACCGAGCTGTCATTAAAAAAACGTTTCATTAGCTCACCACCACGTCCCAACGAATTCCACACAAATTAACATAAATTGTTTTCGTCAACTCCAGATATTCTGGCTCTAAGATACTTAATGTTCATAAACACTTTTATATGGATGCAAGACACGTTTGTGCAGTTTAATTCGTAAATAAAATAACTATAATAATGCGAGATATGCCGGTGACGCGAGAGGCATAAACTCGGTAATAAAGTTAGTGACCAAGTGAAAACGATCCGAGTTGTCATCGTACTAACTTTATATCCGCCCCAACTCGGTTAAATACGCTTTTTATAACTCCAGAAACCAAGCACCCATTCTACAAAGAGAAACATTTCAAAACCGACTATTTATTTGCATGTAAAATATAAAAGAAGAAACCTGTGTTACTTTAATACGAGAGATAACAAAAGTGAGCAGCGACATACTGTTAATATTTTTCAATTTACTTATCTGTCGGCGGAAATCAATGTTTCACATAATTTTAAATGTAAGTAACCTAATCGAAAGCCGGTGTGTGTCGACGGACGAATTTACCAGATTCAGATGTAATCAGAGCGACAAGAAGCCGCATCGGAGCTCGACACTAACACGATAACAGAGTTGGTTTACAAACAGGACTGTGCCCGGGCGGGTGGCGGGTGGCCGGTCCCAGCCCGCGTCCAGCCAGCCTCCGACACACATAAACTAACTCACATAACTGCTGTGAACGCGACGAAATCAATTCCCAGTTCCGATTCCGAGAAGTGACACAGTTTCTTAAGTGTCGCATCACTACCGACGGACCGCTAAATAAATTCTAATCGTCCCCATATCGTCCACATGCCAATCTAGTCCCTAACACCACGATATAGGTGACCTTTTGTACCCACCCAGTCGAGTAGTTACAATATAAAGAAGAGCCACCTGTCCCCACGAAAATCTTTATAGCCGCCATAAAATTTAAACCTCAAAAGAAAAAACAAAAAGTATGGATTCATTTTTTTCTTTTACGAGCGGGGCCCATTTTAGTTCGTGTTTACCTAAGCTGTCACCTTACAGAATGGCGATTTTGACTGGTTGGGTCCGTTGAATTAATTGTGGAGTTTTGGAGAGATATCGTTTGATGTGCGATAACGTCCGATGGACGAGCTGCCTACTGTCGGTGGGAGCAATTTGCTTAATTCTGACAGTTTCGGTCGCGGAATTAGAGGTCCGCTTAACGTGCTTAATTGTTACGACGTCCAGTTCTGAGAGCCAATGTCCGTAAATTGTATGTAATGCGAGTGATTTAGAGATTAGGCGGTGCTATCAATTAAACAGTTACTGTGAACCTGGTACCGACAGCCATCTAGATGGCTGACCCGCCATTCTACGTAGTGCGAATTGGAATTACATCAGATTTCCAGACCTTATTGTTCAGTGAAGTATAACTTTTAACTTCTGACTATGACTTAAATGATGACTGATGATATAGATTGTAAATGAACTTACCGTGCGAGCCGACTGCGGCGGAGTAGGGGGCGTGCATTTGTTGATGGTAGTAGCGGGCGCGACTGTGATGACCGCCTTCCAGCGGGGAGTGGAAGAAGCCGTCGCCATTGGCGTCGGCGTTGACGTCGCCGGCGGCGGGGCTGCCGTTGACGCGGCCCTCGTACCACCGCTGCTGCAGCGCGCTCGCCCCCGACCCCGCGCCCTCTCCACTCATGTCCATGGCCGATCCGACCTCACACACCATGCATCGCTTTTATACACACGCACTAAAAGTCCACTCCCCTATCAACATTCCTAAAGTCAGTTTCGTGTATGATGAACCCGAACTAAAGTGCGGTCGGGTTCAGTCTTTGCATCTGTAGGCCTCAACTTGTCGCAGGGATTGACGACCAGTTCATATTGCACGTATCTGTGGAAGATAAAAGTATATTTAGGATACGATAAACAATACAATACAGAAATGACTAAAGCTTTTAAATCCGGGAAAACCAATTAGGCACCATGTTACGTGCACACGGATGTCATGAGGGAATTTTTGACATCAAAGAAACACCAACGATAAATCCGGCCGGGTGTTTTGTCAAAAAATAGACAATCAATTAAGATAGTAGTGGTGTGCTATCAAATACGTCTGTGATATCGATACGCTCCCAATTTGATTAACTGATAAGGTACGAACAACACTCGAACCGCCACGATAAGCGATGACCGGGTATTAAGCGTTGTTATGGCCAACCGAACTGTGATTTTTATTAATACTAAAACCTGCTCACGATATCTTTATCTGCTTTTGGCACGTTTACTTAACACTCCTGTAGTCCAGCACCTTGCCAGTCAATGTGTAAACATGAGAGTGTTTGTAAATATTGAAGAAAACGTCAACAATTTATATGCAGAAGCATTCATTTATTTATTATTAAGACTATGAAGACTATTATTACTCAATATGCAAGGTTGAAACAAAAAGATCAATTAATTTTCTATTCATAATATAATCACAAGGCTTTTTGTTAAGATAGGTTAGGTTTTATTAATATACATACATATATAGGTATGCAATATGCATTATATTGTGTGTAATGTTATAATCATTGAATAATTTTGGTAAATTCATTAACTTTATTCTATCAAATGAATTCAATAATTTATTTAATAGGTATGTACTCTCAAAACAGGTTGACAAATTACAATTCAAACCAATCACATCATCACAAACTTTCATTTCGCATCTGACATTTCACAAGCTCATAAAGTATGGATATTGTTGACATTTAATTCTATTCATACAAATATGATACTTGATAAGCTGCCGCACCCGTAGTATCACATTAGAGTTCCATACTGTGAATGTTAATAATTGAATAACTTTATGGAATGCTAGGAATAGAAAATGGTTTTTTTAAATGTCAAAGTGTGCCTACGTAGCAAAAGGTTTAAATACACTTACTTATAATGTATTTTATTTAAAAAATATAACTTTACCTGTCGACAATCTTTAACAATCATTCACTACACACTATTTCAATGATTTAATGGAAAATACGCATTGTACGCAAGGCAAAGATAGGATAGGATTTAGACTACGTAGGTAATTAGGATTAGGGGATCTAGGATAGGATACTATAAGTGTTAGATTATCTAGGATAGTGTAGGATAACGTTAGCTAGTAGTCATTAGGATTAGGCAGTTCTATACAGTAGGATCTTAGCGTAAAGCTATCATCACGCTGTACAGTAGTTGAAATCATTAGCACTATTCATGCAAATATAGAAATAATAAATAATGTTATATATGCTAACTGTAAGTAACTTTTTAAAGACGTTGTTTTACTTCGCGTCGTTAAGGGATTCGTTTTCTTGCTGTCCAGGCCGCCGGCATTATATGTGTTTATTATAAATGTTTTGATTCTTTACATTACACATTTAAAACGATGAAACTTAATAACTACATACTTGATTCTTTCTATTATGAGATATTAATTTGTTCTCTTCATTATTATTTAAGAAGAAAATGTATATTAAACTGTCAAATACCAAGCGGTCACCGGTGACCGCAACCTATTGTTCTATAATTGTGTCTACAAAACCGGTACTCGACGAGTTAATATAGGAAATAGTAGTCTTTGTATGGAGTCACGAAAATCAACTAAAAAAAGAATTGGATCGATAATAATTTAATGTAATTGTTATTAAGCCTTCTGATCTGTAACCACTATTCGTACCAGAAATGTAACGGGAATGTAGGTACTGCCTTCTGAGATACAAGCAACGCCTAGTTCAGGAGACAGAGCTTGATGTATTGAGATGTTGGTATATGAATAAAGAATTATTATAAAAAAAAAACTAGTAATTGGAACTTAATTATGACCTATGCCATGTGATTACTAACAAGTGTAATAAATAAATATATTTATTGCCATTTTCTATCCTAATTGAAATAAACAATTACTTAATTGCAAACCCGTAAAATATGTTATTAGACATTTAAGAGTGTTTGTACTTGTACTTTTTATATGTTTTAGTTTTTTTCTGTACCTAATTAATTAGGCACATGTATAAATGCTAGGTACCTAATTGACTATATGTGATGTACAAAATAGTGAAGTCTTGTACCTACATACTGTTGCTAAAAGCTTCAAAGAACAAAGATACAAGCTTGCTTAGTCAGTTAATTTTATAGGTACTGTAATAATTTATTTTCATTAAATTAACTTCGTTTGCTTTACAATTTTCACTTTTTATTTTAGTTATAGTAAAATATTATGTTTTTATTGTATGTCGTGGTTTCCCGGAGGTTTAAGACGCCCGCTTTTCGTGCATGAGGGCGCGGGTTGGAAACCTACCAACGGCAAGTACCAATGTGACTTTTTCCGAGTTATATGTATTTTCTAAGATTATTTAGACACCACTGACAAACGGTGAGGGAAAACAACGTAAGGGAATCTGGGCTTATAAATTCTAATTATAAGTTTCTAATCGCCAACCGGCATTGAGCAAGCGTGGTGATTAATGCTCAAACCTTCTCCGTGTGAGAAGGGGCTTTGTTCAGCAGAGTGCATTTATAGGCTGTTGATGAAGATGATGATGATGTTTTTATTATAGATAAATTAGTTTATTTACAGTTAAAAATGAGGTATTTTGTGTTTTTTTTTCATTTATTACATATGACAAATTGGAATATAATTATAGTTTCTTCCTACCTACGTAGACAGGTAAGTAGGTATAACTATGTTCTAGGTATTAAAAGTACATAATAAATGCCAAATGTTGACATTAAATTAATTATTTCTAAGACATATTCACGATACCTTACATACAATAAAGTACAATAGAAAAAAAAAAACAACAAATACTTTAGAAATATCCATGACAAAGACTATTTGTCAATGTTATCAATATTTTAAGAAGGAGATACCTTTTAAATAACATAAGGAAATTGGTACTGATGTCATAACATTTAAGCTAAGCTTCATGTATTTATTTTTACTAGCTATTGCCCGCGACTTTGTCCGCGTAGTATATGATTTCTGTTTTATACCTTGGGAGCATTTATTCGGGATCAAAAGTATACTATCACCTAAGTCAGCCTGTGCATACGAAATTTGTGTCATTATATCATTATTAGTTTTCCTTCCACAGATCCACAGGAAAAAATTCCAATAGGAATAGGTGGTACCTTTGTACTTTAATTTTATATATGTGTTGTCCTTTAAGCTGTATGTGTGTATATAAATAATAAATAAATAAATAAATGTCATCAAAATCCGTTCAGTAGTTTCAACGTGGTTGACGGACAACATCCAAACAAAGAAACATTCACATTTATAATATTAGGTATTATGATTTTTATTATGTATTTAGTAAAGGACAAACTATAAGGAGTTAAAGTATTACAGGGTTTTTAAAAAAAAATCTCAGTAGTAGCACGGAGTCAGGAATTGTGCCCGGTATATGGCAATAAGCTCACCTCCTATTACATGGGACTCATAACATAAATAGTGAAAAGTGGGTGTTACTTCTGTGTGCACCTCTGCCTACCCCTTCAGGGATAAAAGTTGATGTTATGTTATGATAGAAGGAGTTATCCCAACGGATACTAAAGCGATTAATTATTAAATTAATTGTTTCATACTTTCATTATAATTTCAAATTCATCATACTTTCATTATAATTTCATGAGCTCGTCCTAATTGAATTACGGATAAAGTTTGTCCTTAATGTGGCAAATTTTCGCCTTAAAGGTTAAAATTCAATTTCAATGTTATACACAACGTACTTATACCTAATACTTTCCAGACAGAAATCGACAAACGAATCTAATCTTTAATTAAAACATTCTATAATTACTCAAGGCTTCGCTTCCAACAAGGACTTATATACGTACTTAGTACTTAGGTAAAGAAAAAATCGTTTGTGAGCAATGAATTATCATTGAGATAAGGTCCGTCCCGATAATAATCGATTTCTATTATCATCAACATATAATATTATTTTATTAAAAGCAAATTCGAACACTTAGTTTCACTTATCAAACTTATTATTTGATAAAATTATTTTATTTATTTCTACTTAATTTCCTACCTCATGGAGACAGATTATAATCGAATTGTTAAATGGAAAAGGATTTTTAAATTACTTTAACTAGATATTTGTAAAAAAAAATTATAGACATTATAGTAGCCGTAAGATTAAACGAGTACCTATGCATCTCTTCTTTTTCTCTTTCTCGTTTTTGTTTATTTTTTTTTTAACTTTTCCCCGGTTACAAACATACAAGTTCACATACACATGACACCCAGACCCGAAACAACAATTCGTGGATCACACAAAGAGTTGTTCCATGCGGGAATCGAACCCGCGATACGATGCGCGGCCAGTTGCCTAGCCACCGCAACAACCATGCAGTCAATTAAGCATCTACGTGTTTCATTAATTACATTTCAATTAATATCTTAATATTCGAAGTACCTAATAAACTCATTTGCTAAACATATGGATATCTATACCTAAGTCATATATAGGTATTTAAACAGTTTGACTTCCGTGTACAGTGTAAAAGGAACGCTCCTGAAAACGCTGACAAAAATGTTGTTATGTTACAATTTTACAATTTGTTATATTTGTTGGTTTGTAACATTTGTTTTTTTAATGTTGTTACAATTTTAATCGTTTTTGTTTACGTATTATTCAACAACATCAGCCTAAAGCGGTCGATTACAACTATTATTACATAAAAGAAATACTTAATTCCTTACTTAAGTATATGAAAATAAGACTTATTTTTTACCATCGCCTGTCGGCATTCTTTTGGAAGCATCCCATTTACACCCTGTATAATGTACATTTTTACACAGCACAAAACCATATCGAGTATAAGGAGTTAGACACAAGTAAAGTGATAAACAAGAACTAAATTGTTACTTATTAAAATAACCATACATTCATCAGTTATGTTACAGATCTAACCCGGTAGAGGACGAATCGGTTGCTATAAGTAGGTAGATACAATATTTAAGCACAATCCGTCAAGTACCTACCAATGTGAATTTTTCCGAATTATAGTTATGTACTTTCTAAGAATATTTAGACAATAACTGACAAACGATGAAGGAAAACATTGTGGTGAAACCTGGACTTGTAATTTCTAGTTATAATTTTGAAATCGCCAACCCGCAAATAGCAAGCGTAGTGATTAATGATCAAATCTGTGTGAGAAGAGGGTTTGCTCCTCAGCAGTGGGTACTTCTAGGACAAATAATATAAAATTGTAGTGCTTAACTCGTCGAGTACCGGTTTTGCAGACACAATTATAGAACAATAGGTTGCGGTCACCGGTGACCGCTTGGTGTTTGACAGTTTAAAGACAAAAGAAATTCATTTAAACAAAAAATGTATTTGACAGATAAAATGAGTAAAATTCGAATAACCTTACTAATATTATAAATCGGAAAGTGAGTTTGGTTGTTTGTTCCGCTTTCACGCCATAACTACTAAACCGATTGCTTTGAATTTTTAAAGGTGTATAGTTAGAAGTCCGGATTAAATAGTACTTTTTTATCCCGGCAAAGGAAAAATTTTATATTCCCGAGGGAAAACAAAAGTATTGGTATAGATGGCACTGTGTGTATTGGTATATGTCACATTGGCTTTTTATCGTTTTGTGACGCGAGCGAAGCCGCGGGTAAAAGCTAGTGTATAATAATTCTAGTCATATGATGTCTTGAAAATAAGAAAGAGGTACTACTTGTTTTTGCTTCTCATGTTTAAAAATATAGCATTACTCTGCTATGTATTGACATAATAGTAGGTACATAAATAGTAGGTACACATACATAATGTATTTATTCCCATTATAAAAAGACCTGGCATAAAGTAGAGTTCTTTTAAATTAGAGGTCTTCTTTTAATGGATTATTCAAAGTACTGAATACCTTTTTAAATAGATATGCTAAACTAACCGATACAAGGCATAGTTAGTCCAATATTTAAAATCATTTTACAAATGCAACCGACATCCATATTACAGTAAAGTAAAATCAATCAATCAAAATCATTCGACATAGCCCAAAGGATCAGTAAACTGAAGTGGCAGTGGGCCGGTCACATTTGTCGAAGAACCGATAACCGCTGGGGTAAACGTGTCCTACGTCTAGGTAAATGCAGTGTAGGGCGCCCTCCAGCTAGGTGGAGTGACGACATCCACAAGGTGGCTGGCAGTGGTTGGATTAGAAGAGCTGAAGACCGAGCTCAGTGGCATGCCATTGGAGAGGCCTATGTCCAGTGGCGTGCACACCATACATGCAAATAAGCACTGCATACCCTACAAAATCATGGTAAACCTACATAGTCGAATACATAGTGTCACTCATAAACACGACATGAATATTTACTGACGTCATACAGAGATTTCGTAATTTTATTGATACTTAATTTGAAAAACTGGTCACTAACGCCATCTATCGAAAAAATATTGAAGTACTACAACCACTTTCTACTTTCTTCGATATATTGAAGCATTGCGCCAGTGGCGCCGCCACCTCGCTATTGTGTGATGGTGGCGGAAGCATGTACTAATGCGTAGCCGGTACAATTTGCTTGTTTTCTCGTGCTGATGTTGGATTTTTTTTTTGTTAGGTTGGTAATTTCTATACAACTGCAAAAGCACTGCTTCTTCGTTATCCGACTAATTTAAGAAGTCAACAAAACGTAGCGTTTGTTGATTGAAAATAGATATATTAATTTTGGTCAACTTTTTGTTTACGTTTTTTTGGCCATTTTGTTTTGGTTATGTTTTTATGTGCTAGTTAATAAATTGTAATGTAATGAATTATAATTTAAATGAACTGTTAATTTACCGAAAATTATGTAAAATTATAGCTGTGATCTCTGTGCTGGTGATTTGTGTTGTTCAATAAATTAAATATGAGTGCGTTGTCCTTATTGTCGTTCGAAGAAGAAACGAAAATATTTCCAAAGGCGATTTTGCGTGTGTCGTATGTCCGGGCTAGGCGTAACTCAAAAAAGGTAATAATTTTATTATTTCTTTTAATAAACTACGATTTGCGATTGTAGGTATAGTTTGTTAGCACTGGTTGTGTACCAATTTCATTATTGTTTTTAAAATCCAGTCATCTTGATCTCGCTTTGTACGATTTCTCTATGCATTTAACGGTCACTTTATACTGGTGTCGCATAGCTTGATGTGTAGCCATTTGTACTTCGCCGCTCCAAAGTAGGTACCTAGTTAGATTTGTAAAATAGATACCTAGGTATTTATGTTGATCAACTTTATACACGGATAGTTTGAAAATAATTATATACCTAATTTGTTTATACAAATTAATAAAATACTTACTAAACCTAATTACCTACTCAAAATTATGATGTTTCGGGAGTTGTAGACCAAATTTTTTTAAATCATGCCTTCTGCCTACCCTACTTCAAATCTCTGTGCACGCCCCTGCCTATGTCCAGCAGTGGACGAATACGGGCTGATGATGATGTAAAATCGTTTTGATAATTCCTAATTGTAATTAAATTGTGCGTAAGGCATATTTTTTTCAGTTTAAAATCACACTAATTTTATCGTCTGCTGCCACCAAAAACGTAGTCTCTTACTGAGAAAATTCTTATTACAACAGAACAATGAGTTGGAAAAATATTTAATATATAAAGTACGCTCAATGTTTTAATTTGTAGTTTTAAATTTATTTTACTTACTAACTACAACAAAAGATACTTTTTTAAATTCGTGTCTAGCATAAAAAATGTTAAGACTTATATTTTTATATTTTCAGACAATTAGATAATTTCGAAAACAATTTCATTTTTAACTTATTTTAATTTAATTTAATTTATATTTAGGTATTTGGTTATTGAGTGTAATAGGAGTAATTTTTGTCTAATTTAATTCATACCTGAAATATTTCTTAGCCTTTGAGTTTTTTCAGCAGAAATGAATCTTCAAGATTTAACAAAAATACTGTAATGAGGTATTAAAAGGAAAACTAATAAGAAAAATATTAATAAAACGAATTAATCTTTAAGAAGTCACTAATATTTTTTTTATATAAAATTTTTTAGTTGTCATTTGAAATAGTGTCAGAAAATAACTTAGGTTCTAAATTCTTCCGATTCACAGATTGGTAGCAGGCTCGATCCATGTATGGGAGTTTTAATAAGACCCGTGTTATGTGGCTATATTCCACAACTATCTCTATTCCGTCAAGGAAACTTGTAATCCTAAATTAAATTAATTCAATTAAAGAAATTTACGATTTCCTCTATGTCCTCCAACTATTTGTTAATCCACTATTAAATTTTAAACGCCCGCTTTAATGTGCTTAAAGTATCAAATTACAGTTTAGAAAATAACGTTAAATCCATATTAATTTATTGACAAGCGCTTTTTAGGAAAAGTATTTTCGGATTCGTTTTTAAGAAAACAAAATGGCAATCTTAATTATAATTACATAAATCAGCAAGCCTATAGTGTGTAGAATGTTTTGTCTCTTCTAAGTATTCAAATGGCCCGACTTTTATGTCTTTAACATACATATCTCGACTTTAAAATATGTTAAACATAAAAACTAAAACAGTCAACACGGCCTTTTTAAATGCCTTCAGTTTTACGACCTTGTAAAATAAATATAGTACATAAGTATAGGTACTTATATGGCCAAACGGATATCTATTTCAAAACGACCTTTAATCCATTGTCCAGAAATGTACTCAACATTCACATATACAAATAATAAATCAAATGTTTAAGTAGCCAAATATCTTACTTGATAAGATGAAAATCTCCAGTGAGTCTTGATAATTTCCAAAGAATATAAGTACACAAGATATAGTATATAAGTAATGATCTATCACAACCGACGAGACCGCTATCTGAGCATCGACTGAAAAATGGATTTGCCGATAAAAAAAAGAAATCTCACGTTTTTATCGCAAATTACGTCGATTTTATGTGATTTCCTCGTAATATCAGGCGATAAGGGAACTTATCGGGCGGCACCATTGCTCTGTAATCACTATTTTTCACTAATTCAACGATTTTAAACTTTTATCAATATAATATAACGATTTGATTTAACGAACATTAATTATGTTTTTCATATCTTAAAAAATATAAGTGCCAATTAGTAAATTCGCATGTCAAGTCAAGTTAATCTGAGTACAGTGATTTAAGTATAAAGTAGTTATCTTAATTACAAGAGCCTATTAGCTATACAATGCCGAAATACGTAACAAACATTATTTGTACGCATATCAATGGTACCAAAAGGACTTTGATTTATATACCAACTTAAGATTTCCCAACAGTTTTGTTAAACACGCCCATAGACACCATTCAAACATATAAATTCACACCCAATATTGTTAAATCATTATTCATACAGATATCATAATAATAATAGATTATCATAATTTGATATTTGACAATATTTTTCACAAATCATAAGTCTCGATAGGCTACAGAACGCCTGCTGTGAAATTGCCTCTCATACATTTATATATTGATATTTATCAAAAAATATTAACGAACTAATTTTTCAATACACATTTTAGTGACGGTAAATACCTGTGAACAACACTTTTTATTTATTTAATAACAAGAATTTTGAATGTATATTAATATATTGTAATGAAGTAGTTTACTCCTAAAATAGTATGGATATTAATTAAATATATCGGATGGTGCTGTTGTCGTTTTATTCGTGAGAGCCCTGCATAAACTGGTCTCACAATTGATCCGGCAAACGCAAGTGATCGATGCGCTCGCGCAAGTTACTTATCTATACGATACGTAGGCCTATCGCGGTTGGGATCGAAGCGATCGCGAGCGGTAGCACATTCGAGTTATAAATCATCCCTGATTGCCTATAACTCGGTACCAATGATAAACATTGTGATTTTACACCCGTCCAACGGTTTAAATTATAACTTCATGAATATTATTAGGGTCCAGTACGGTTGATGCTGAAAATTCAATTATATTTCGTGGTTAATAAAGTTTCAATTCGGTATAATTAGACCGAAGTTTGGAGTGGAATGAATGGATGTTGTGATTGTATTTTGTTTACAAACCTCATTGCTGTGCATAAAGACTTTGTATTACACAGAATTATTTTTTTAAAATTGAACAAAATTACAATTGTCCAGTTGTGCAAATATTTGAAAAAGCGAGATCTCTCAGTGTCTGTATTTATTTTCATCATAACTTTTGCTTTACAAAACTAAAGCAGCCATATAGGCATCAAATTAATATAACTATACTTCTTCATATTAGCATAAAAATAACCCATTAGGTACCTGAATATAGGACACTTTTATATGAAGAATTAATAGTCCTTAAATACAGATTGGAAAGAACCCTCATATATATTCAAAATAATTACTTGACCGTTTTGAAATTAGCAATCATATTTGCATCAGACATAGTTGCAGTGTGTAAAATAGGATTGTGTAAATAAAAATGAAAACATCATATAGTATTATCAATATAGTATTTTCAATTAATGTCAGAAACACTAGATATACCTATATAAAACTTGTCATAAGAAAATATAACCAATTTGTGAGCGGTAAAGTCCAATTAAAGCTGGCGCCGTTTTTGAATACACTATATCTTTATAGATTTTTTTGTAAATTAGGTACATTCTTTGTACCACCTGTTCCCCATTGCAGTTTATTAAGCACTCCCATGGACTAAACCGGTAAAAAGTTTAATCTTCACTGCATCTTTATTTAGTGACAAATATTTAATCGGCATCAACTAATCAGATTCCCAAGTATAACAAACCAACATAGTATGACTACAACAAATAAATATAATTAAAAAGGTTATCGTCCTCTGAAGGACAAATCATCAAAAAAGAAGGACAGGTCATCAAAAACCCAAAATATAAAACAAAACCAATGCAAAATTCCATTCAAACTATCAAAAACTAAACACACAGATGCCAATCAATTTAAAGATAAACAAATTAATTTAATAGTCATCATCTGAACTTGTACAAGCGTTTACACACTCCTATCAGTCTTATTAAGATTAGGCGAAGGTCCAATTAAGATAATTGATTCCCCTATGGACCTCCCGGCCGAAGTCCGGGGCCTAAAACTTAAAAAGAAAAAACCAATATTATCTCCCAGCTTTATCGACTCGCTTCGATACTAAATCGATCAAGACTTTTACTATAAAACATTTAGTGTAAACCTTTTTATTTATAGATTATTATGATAGAAGATTTCGATGAAAACTACACTGTTGAAATCTCCTGCCCACGTGCGTTTTGTCGCTTTAGGCTCAGATGATAGATACTGATCTTTTTAGCACTCATTAAAAATGTTGTTTGTGGTTTTAATGTTATTTGCTTTAGGCCCAGATGTTCCTATTAAACATTCTTTAGACAAAATTTACATGATTGCAATAATTTACCTTTTAAATGATAATTTGCAAATAAATTCGATCAACGATTCGGCCTCAATGTTCTTCTCTGATTCTCTTTAATTCTCTGAGACAAACAATAAAAATCTGTTCTAAAAAACCTGATCTACTTACGAAACCAACTAACAAATAATATTAGAACAAACAAAACGATGGTACTTCCATTAATAGAGACATGTCTATGGATTTAATAGCTTCATATAAAGGCGTTGATATAAAAAGTTCCTATCAAGTAAACACACTTTCAATAGTGTTCGAAGTTTATCCCAAATTATATATGAACACTTTGAGCTGTCGCATTTGAAGGACTTGGAATAAATAAAGGGAATGCGTAGTAAAGTCGACTTGCTTTGTAAACTAAATCATCAAAATAACAGCCACCGTACCTATAATTTGTACACAATACGACACTCCGTGTACATTTAATTTACAGCCCAAACCACAATTTATAGACCCAACAAAATTGTGAATAAAACGAAACGGTACAACAGCTACAGTCAAATCGATTACCTGCGCTTGATCACTCAGATTGATCGATGCCTTTTTAAAACAACCACATCGAATAATTTATTGATCAGACAGAATTTTCATTGAAAACTTAATAATCGAATGTCTATAGGTGTTTGTTGAACAGTTTGAATTGATTAACTGAACAATTTGTAGATGATTGTGCTAATTGAATGATTAATAAATAGCTGTATCGATTAATTCCGTTAATCGTTGAGAAGTGTTTGCATGTCTACACCTTGTCGACATAAAATACATAATTTGATGTTTGATTTCAATACTAACTAAATTATTATATTTGAAAATGACATTATGATTCATAATTTACTTAATAATTATACCTTTAACTTTGTTGAAAAATCGTTTTAGAAATAGGTAAGGTTTTCTATCGAGTCTCTAGAAGACGAACATTTCATAAAGCAAATATTTCACCATATTTATATCGCCTAATATATTTAAATGTTATAATTTATCATCACATTTGTAATTCAAAATCAAAAACCTTGTTAACATGTAACACAATCCGCGAATATCAATAAAATGTATTTACTTGTATACAATATATTCATAGATAATGATCTACAGCCTTAATACATCTATCTACTTGGGAAATCTAGTCTTAATTTGGTATAACATCAGATGCTAATGGACGAATAGGCAATTTTTTTTTTCAAAAATTCGGTTACCAAACAATATTCATAAATGGAAAATTGATTCATTACCAGTCTTCTAATATTCTGAATTAAGTTTATAAATATTTTAAATACAGTTTATTTCGTAATTTATAACCCAAATATACAGGATATAGCACTACATACACCAACCAGCGGAAACGCTTACTTCATACACACTCACACACACAAAATGTGACGGCTTATCGGCAGCTAATCGATTTGCGTTTGCGCATCTCGGGGCGCATTCAAATTTCGATCGCGAACTGTCATGGCGGCTCGATTGGCCGAAAACAGCCGAACAACCGATATGAAAACGAAACGAAGTGGCATTGACATTGATTGGTTGTTCAGAAACTTCAAACAAAGGGTACATAGATTCAGTCCAGGTACGCTCAGGCATATAAATATTTTTAAATTCAAATTATATTGCACACACACGCCATGATGTCAATTTAAATCCGTTTAGTTTGCATGTGATGTCATATCTAGGAATGTGAATTATATCTGTAGGTATTTGACGAAGTATACCTCTTTTTTGATTTATTTAAATGACAATATAAATAGAATAAGAGCTGTTTTTATAAATAATGGATGAATGACATGTTGACTGATTGTTGAACAGTAAGTTATGCTGGTAGATAGATACAGAAAGTCATGTCTAAAATCAAAGATATACCTATAAGTATAAATCTTAATAAATATAAAAAAAACATATTTTAAATTAAATAATAAATAGTACTTTTATTAGCCATTTGACTCAAATAACCTTTTTTACTAATTTAATGGTGACTAAATATAAGACTTTTTCGTTTTTTTAAACACTGCTATCTAAACATTCCCATAAAGATGTCAGAAAAGACAAAAATAAAAATAATCTTTTATTTAAGGCAAATTAATTTTATTTAAGTGATTCATCAAATTGATTCGTGTAACACAATTATAGGAAACCCGTTTATGTCTTTTATTAGAGAAAAACGCATTTTTAAATGAAAAAAATGTATACCTTAAAATAAGTCATTTTAAATGTAAATGAAACATAAATACTACTTAGGTACATTTGATTTGACATAATTTGTCTTATTTTAAATTATTTGTCATCATACCGATAAGAATCGTGTAGGTACATTTATGATAAACGGATGAATAATAAATTTGTTGTTCAATAAATTCACCTGATAATACATTTAATTTAACACATTTTTTATGTTCTATTTATGATGATATTATTGATTTTTTATGTTGCAAATTGTTTTTTTCATATTCGCACTGCTGTCCGTCGGAAAGAGAGTCCGCGGTTATTTGTTGTGCGATAAATAAGAGTTTTAGTTTACATTTTATGATTGTTATGACTGTTAAATGGTGAATTAAAATTGTCTATAAAAGTATGAGAAGTATATTGTTCAATTTTGTAGCCGTTTTGTAATAGTTATTTTGCAAAAACTCTATCAATGTTTTGCATCAAAACATAGAGTCAAGCCTACTGTTTTATTTTTTTAAACAACTATTTCAGGAAATGTTTTCAATTGTGTTTCAGTTTATAAATTAATAAAACACTGCATCTTCACCAAGAAAGTATTAAAATATTTGCTCTATATTTTCATACACCAGAAAACGTTGCTCTAAATTGTTTATAACAAAAGTAAAATGATAAAAATGATTAAATACCTCAAATGTCCTTATCAGATGCTTATCACAATATAGTTCACTATCACTATGTATCACTGTAAATACTGTGCAGATGCAAAAACACACTGAAATCATGAGCTCCATTCCGTTTGCGTGTTCATTTTCATTGGAAAATTGGAAAAATTCTTTATATCACAGGTCACAGAATTTACTATAGAATTATATATACAGAATAGAGAAGTTATTGTAGATCGCGTATTATATTGTTTTAGTATTACAAAAACAGTCCATATTAAGAGCGCAAGCGCAAGTGCGTCGTGGAGGCGTGCGACACGTGATGCGGCGTCGATGGGACGCAACCCGACACTAAACCAGTCGTGAGACTTTTTGTTGTGAACGCGCGCAATCGGACGCCCTCGGCTGCGCTCGGCCCGTCCGACCGCTGTTCGGCAGCCGCGCTACTTTCATTGGCTTGTTCTGAACCCAGGCGGTGGGTGTGGGCGGGGCTTAAACCAATGGGAGTGTTCTCTTTTAAAAATTTTCTTTTTTCTCCTTTTGGGCGGTAGTGTGGTGGTGTGCGTTAGTCGAGGCGCGCGCGCCGCGGGTAATGGATGGCTTGCCGCGGTTCGCTTGTACTCTGTTATGCCGGATGGCCGACGGACTAAAAAGATTAATTGCCCAAAATTAGTGGTATTTTCAGAGAAACGACACCCCTTTAAACAATAGCGGTCACGTTATTTATTTATTAGAATCTATTTCTAAGCCTTATTTGTGAGTTTGCTGATAAAAACAGTCATTGTATTTATTTTATTACTTTAGCTGCTAGACTGTAAATATACGAAACCATTTGACTACTATCTATTTTTAATTTCGTCTTTTTTCATGGAAATCTTTTCTACCTTTAATATATAAACCATCATACATTCTACGTCATATCTACTATTTTCTGTTTCTATACTTTTCATAAAGTGTTCTAATTGAGAAATTGGCGCCAAGACTTTTGTTGCGGGTTTAGTGATAGAATCTTTTCACATACACATGTTTTATTA